CTTGATCTTCTCTTATCTTTTCCTGGGGTTTCTCATGCGTGCTTTAGCATCCTGTTACCCCGTTTCTTTTTCTTAGGTTTTTCTATCTTGCTTGGTGCTATACACTGGATTTCTTCCTTTGCCGCCACTTGGGCATCTTGTATTCTTAGACTTTCTTTCCCTGGTTGTCCGTTGTCCTCTGGCTGTCTGTCACTTGGTATTTAAAACCCCCATTGCTTCAATATCTTTTACTCTACCACCTTTTTGTTGCCTGATTGGGCGTGCTGGATGGACTTGTATTCTTAGAAATTTCCTCTCCCAAGGTGGGCCACCTGGGTTTTCAATCCCCTTGCTTCAATATCTGGTATTCTCCAAGATAGCCGCTACGCCAGTACTCAAATACACCCTGAACCAGGTCCCCACTCGGTGACCCCTGCATTCCTAATCACTTTGGTTTCCTCCAATCCCATTTAGGCATGGTCTATAGCTAGCGCGAAGTTATACCGCTAAACACTACCCGTAATAGCTAGATTTTGGACACTACTCTCCTCTGCTGCGTCCTTAATTTTCCCTTTTGTTTACGCCTGAGATCACACCCTATGACACCGGAAGGCAAAAGGGAATGATTGTGGGTAAAGCACAGATCATTTAGAAGTTGCCCTTTTAGTAGTTGAAGTATTGAGATGAATCCTGAGTGATGCTACATGATCCTCTGACGTGCCAAAAAGACCGCACTCAACTGCAGCCAGGATGGCGACGCACATATAGCTGTTCATCCATTTGAGGTTTTATTCTTGCCCCTCCTAACTGCCAGTAGAAGGAGGTTCTGAATGCCCCCCTCTTGGTCTAAAGGAAGACAAGTACTCGTCGCTGTAAACTCTTGTGTAGTTTTCAAGATTCTAATTCTCACCATCTACTAGTAAGAAGTACGTTGGGCTTTGTATCAGATCACTTGTTTTGAGTTTTAGCCTTTGGAGGTGTTAAGTCTGGTCTATTTCACAATTGGCTATAGCAGTGAAAAGCGGGCATTGATCAGATTTCCTCCTCTCCAAGCTGGCAAAAACAAAAGGAAAGACAGTGCATCAGTTGAGGTTGAGAACCTAGATTTGCCAAATGTGAAAAGGGTCCACTTGTGGTGATAGGATACAATAATTGCAGCTGCAGCCACAGACTGACGCATGGTGTCGCGTAGGTTAGGGTTAGTATTTACAGTGACGTCGCAGCCTGCATCTACGAGTATGGTACTCCTGCTCGAGTAGAGCACTAGTTAGTTCATCTTGTTGCTTAAAAGGTTAATTTAGTGTCATCACGATAAGGGTCGATTTGGTAGGTCTACTGTTAGTTTATTTAGAGGAATTTGCATAAATCTGCCTAAAGTGTATGTTAAGAGAAAAACTGTCTGACGTAGGTAGATGTCTTAGTGAGGCCTGGATATACTGTACTCTGCCCTTACGCAGTAACCCTAAATAGGAAAGACCGATTACGGGGGTAATGATGACCAGAAGAGACGGTGGAGTTATAAGAATGCCCTCTTCTACCCCTGCTTCTTCCCTTGTTTTCTTCCACCTCCACACCATGCTCAAGCTTCCTTATTTGCCAGTCGACACACCACCCTCTGCTGTCCTACCTAACTTCCCCCATCCAGAACGTATACTCTATACATCAAGGTTCGTTTTTTCGTTTTTAGCCCCTCACACTCAGTGTCAATTGTCCAGCTTTTTTTTTCTTCTTTGCTTTGGGCATACAAACGTCTCTGGTATCCCCTCCTCTGGCATTCAAAAATGTCACCCAAAACTGTGCAAACTGATATTGGGCGCAGGAAGTATGTATCTCCTATGAAACTAGTAATATCCGACCACTATTGATCTCTCTATATTTGTCAGATGTCTAGTGAGTCAACCAGAATATGCTGAGGGATTCGCCAAATGGAGAAAAGCTCTCCTCCGGCCTGCTGCCATTGCTAGTGCAAGTCGTACTAGACCCCACAAAAAGCTGGAATTCGAACTGGACGTTGAAGATTCCTAGTAAGCAAAAGAACTACGATCCACGTACTGGGAGACTAGAAACTTATGCCTTAGCCTGAAGCATCCTGACCCTGCTGTTTGCACCGTCATGCTGCCACTGGGTAATCAAGATGCCTAACTCATGGAGCAGCATCGGGCCTTGGTAAGCCCGTCGTGCCCTGGGTCCCGCTGGTTGCTCCGTCATTCACCCGGTCACGCTACTACCAGTTAATCAGTATGCCTGGCCCCAAGGCGCAGTATCGGGCGTTCTTAAGCCCAAAGTGCCCTGGGCCCCGCTGTGACACCGGGATGCCCGCAAACATCTCCCATGTCTGGTCCGTTCTGTGTACGCCCCATCTTGTCTCCCGGCATTAATTGTCCAGGTTTTTTTTTTTCTTTGCTCCAAACAAGCAAACATCTCCTGTGTCCCCTCCCCCGGCATTTGAAGATGCCCGCCAGAACTGGGCAAACTGCCATTAGATGGGAAAAGTAAGTATCTTCCATCAAACTAGTTATATCCGACAAATATTGACCTCTCTATGTTAGGTAGACGTCGGGCGAGTCAACCAGACCATGCTGGTGAATCAGTCAAGCGCCCTGGGCCCCACAGTTCGCCCCTCTGTCCTTATTGTGTTTCGTTGTGAGGAAAGTCGATGTCTGGTGTAGTGTTTCGAGATGTGTCTAAGGCTAAGGTAGTGAAACCATCAGAATGACTAGTTCTAGTCGTATCGCACATCTGTGAACTATGGTCATTGAAGTGGTGAGCAGTTTAAAAGAAGAAACGCAAAAGCCTAACAGAGATCGATTCGGGAACACAAAGGCAAGCGTCAAGAGCCTCTTTCTCCGCATGACTATACTTGCTTGATCATCGCCTTGGCCAGCATTGGTCATAGCCCCGGCGGTTAAATGTACGGAGGAGGTAGATGGAAGATTGGGTGTTACAGTTGATTCTGAAAGTTCCTGGAGACTAGGGAATCGTTTGGAAGCGAGGCTGATTGATTTAGAGCATTACGAATGCACTGAGGGGCTTTTCTGGACATGTCTTTGCTTTGTGATACCGGGGAGTGTCCAGGGGAATAGAGACATACGGGAAGCAAGGGAGATGGATGTCCCTGTGGGATATGCGTGCCGCGCGGGAGTGGAACCAGCGATGTTAGGAGTTGTAGTTATCATTTTTCTGGGGGGGATGTTAGGGTAAAGCATGGAATGTGGTAGGCGATCGGGCACTGTAGGGTAGATAGTGTAGATGCGTCAATTGAGGTTTCTTTTGTCCACCTTGTGGTCCCGGAATGGAGGGACAAAAGTTGTTTTTCTTTTCTTCTCGCTTTGTGAGGCCCTGCGCTGCAGTTGGTCATGTCATGCAATACGCGAGCATTATGTTGACCTTGGGGAGGGTGACCTTCTCCCCACCAAGCTCAACTTACCAGATCCTTGGCCAGTCAGACTCATGGGCCTCACCTAACAAGCCTACTGGTGTGGAGATATTATTGTACCTATGCTAATCACCACTGGGGAATACAGAGGTATCCGGAAGGTTCACAACTCGGGCCAGCCGGACTTTTCTACCTACTCCTCCGGCAATTCCATCAAGCGACGAACTCGACCGCCAATCCTCCACTACATTCAGAACAGCAACGGCGTCTCGTACCGACTGCTTCGAGACTACAAAGGCTTGTGGAAAGGTGTGGAACAACTCTGGTATCTCCGGTGAGTTGTCTCAAATATTTGCCTGGTTATCGCCATTAAGTTAGAGTGCGGGATACGGTACCGGGATGCCAGAGAGTGCTGAGTCGAGAATCGAGGGGGATGGCTCTTACAAATTCAGGGGATTTAGAAGCTGGTATACCGGTAGTGGGAGAAGTGGATCGAATGATTTGGTATTGCTTTTCTATGGAGATGTCAAGGCCGTAGGACTTTTGTTAGGTGATAGGGGGGAGGGGCCTCAGGGAATAGAAGAAGGGCAGGCACTAATGAGTTGTGATGTGAGCTCGGTGGTTATAGACAGGTTGCACGAGTAGGCTGGGCGGCGAAATCTTGCTGTTGGGTGTTTTTACTTGGAGTTTGCCTCTCGAAAAGTGGTATTATGGATTTACATGCTGGGCGTTCTGCTTAAACAGGCTGTGGGCGGGCTGGAAATGGCACTAGGGGAAATGGCACGGATCTATAGAGGCGAGAAAGAGCTTACTGGCTAATGGAGAACAGCAACTTTCCGATATTGTGTGGATGCCGCGGACTACAGTACATCTTCAGAGGAGCGCACCCTCATGTGCATTGATCCTTGGAGTGAATATCTGGTGGAATATCGGGTTAAGCTTAACTCTGCAATTGGCCGGACAGAGTCCTCCGGGATTCTCCAAAGATGGGGACGGATATTCATGACTGGGAGACAGTACATTCTGGGCGGAACAGGGAGCAATCCCTCTGAAAATGCAACGACAATGTGTGTTACTTCGAGCACAGGTGAGATTATTGGAGACGGGAATCCTGAAGAAATTTGCTGAAGAAATTTCTGAAAAGAACATGGGAGAAAAATAAACTCCGGAACCTACTTCAAGTTATCCGCTGGCAGTTGCGTGTCTGGGTTCCTGCCTGTCACTCTGGATATTGATGCGGTTCTGCCGGAGCCCACAATTTCCAGCCGGCGATAAAGGCTCGACACAACAATTGATCGCTTGGGGTTGGAGGACGCTTATGACCTAATGCTGAGCTGGGGGGCGAGGCGCGATGGGAGGGAAAAGAAGCTTGACATCGCTGCTTGGATATGAACCTCTCCAGTGGGCTTTGAATTCTGGTGAATTGCGTCAGGTCCAATCGTCCAGATATAGTTGCCTATTCTCATTAGTAAAAATACTACCGGTACTTTAATAGGACATTCCTACTCTGCTGCCAAGGACGAGTTGTCGTAGACAAGGGTGCTTGCGCTATCCGGCCGGAAATATAGAGAGATGAGGGCAGTGGAGGTTGATAATCACGAGAACTCTGCGGGCCTATGAAAATCATTACCCATACGGCTCAGTTGATAATCCCCTCTTATTATTGCATATAATCATTTAAAGTTTATACACGCTGAGAGACGCCCGCATTGGCAGTGCTCCACAGATTCCCAACATCCACTTTCGATCACCACCTTGCTTAGGAGGAGATGTGACTCCTCTCTCCCATTACCCACTATCCAGATGCGGAGACTCCAAATTGAACTCCCGCCTTCTCATGACCGTAGCTCGTGCGAGAACCTGCACTCCCCCAAATCCGTTGTCTAATAAATCAATTTTCAAAAACAAAACAATAGTGACACTGCACCGGTTCCGCCCCCGTTATCAGTAAGTCTTGATCACAAGCCTCTGTTTGTCTATCCCGATCCGGGGGAGGAAACCTGGTATTGAAAACGAGAATTGGTATTCGGACTCACAGTACTTCACCTCCTTTTCTTCCCCTCTCTCTAGCCCGGGCAGCACTATTAGCCTCCGCCGCAAACACGGCCCGGATTCCGTTCGAAGCACCTGCAATTTGCCGCTTAATAGTGAGTTCCATAGTAACCCTGGGGTTGCCCATCTCACTCTTCATTTTTTGCTCTTCCTCTTTCACCATTTCCTCAATGTGCAAACACATTTGCTTTGCTTCGACACCGGGGTGCGCGGCTTCAGGAATGGCTATAGATATGTATGTTAGCTGGGTACTGGGGAAAGTCAGGCGGAGAACCTACCACTCTTAGCCGAAGGACAATAATTACCAGACCGAAGGTCAGTTGTATTAGCCCTTCCATTCCTTTGGAGCCTCCGTCAATTTGCTGAATACCGTTTTGCAACCGGTTAGTTCTTGTCAGACTGACTGCGGACTAATCCTTACACTCTCGAAAAGACGAAGCAGCCAGCTGGGTAAGGGCTCTAATTGCTTGTGGCTCTCCGTTAGCGGCTCCAATAGGTTTTCCACAGCTTGTCCTTTGTGGTCGTTAATGCTTTTCTATCGCACATCCACCAAGTTAGTATTACCAATAAAATTTGAGATACGGCTTGTAGGATTCGGGGCTTGCCTGTGCTGGATTGCCAAGCTGTGGTGAACGAAAGTGAAAGTTGGTGTGGAGGCTGTAGCGGTAATGCCGTACCGAGTGGTATTACGGAAAAGAAGTGAACGAGCTATATTGAGGGAATCTCGGGTGAGGATAGGTGGTCCGAACAGGATAAGGGATCTCTCCTCACTCACCTTATCATTGGTCTTTGTTTCCTCTTGTTTTGTGGGTCCGTTTTGAAGCTGTAATGCTTGAATGAGGGTGGAAACGTTCTCTCTTTCCCACACAGCTATGGGAACCCCTCGGTTGTATCCTTAAACCGCTGGGGTCTTCCGATGCGGGTTGCAGTCCACTCGACGGAGTCAGAAATTTGTGTCCTGGGCATAGCTGCCAATGGCAGCATTAAGTCAGCAGTTGCTCCTTTTTTGGGAACCTTGATAGAAGGAGAATAGTGTTGATACCTATTACTCACAAAACTAAGTTTCCTAGAGAACGGGATCGCTGGGGGTGTTGAGGGAAATTGGCACGAGTAATCAGGTAGTTATATACCCGATTGGTGCAACTAGGATAATAAATTTGATGGAATAGGGACGAAGTTTGATGGTCCAGTTGTTTGTTGCAAGCTCAAGTATGATAAGTCGGAGATTGGGGAGAGACTTTTGATTATGGGGAGGATGTAGAGTGCTTTTAGATGGACAAGAAGCACCCCTTAGCTACCGTCGAAGTTTGTTTTAGTAGTGAAGTGAAGTGAATTTTTCCCAACGTCAACGTAATACACGAGTCCAGCAAAAGAAACACATCCCCCGTTTTCCATACGGGGTATCAATTTTCAATATGCATCTATTTAGCAGCAAAGAAAGAGAAAGATTTGGTAACATTTTTTTTGGAAACCCCGAGATTCACATAGTTGAATCTCAGGTTGCAGGAACTGTTCTACGAAAACTGGGAGCCTAGGTTCTGAATAGGAGGTGAACATCCACGTCAAGACAGCCAACTTGTATAGGATTTTGCATGGCAACAGACTAATCTTGTTTCAGGTCTCTATATCGGCATCCAAGACTGACAATAAAAAACTGAGGGATTCATAATGTTAACCTCCTTATGGATGTCTAACATAGCATTATCAGAGCACGGAGGGCAGTATTGGGTGTTGTTTCTTCAGGCCGCTAATTGAAAATTGGTGTTTTGCATGCAAAACAGAGCTGCGTTTCTTTGGTTGCCATGCTTGTATAATAATATTATCATACTTGTACTTATGATCCGAGATTTGGTACCCCATTCGTCCGAGCAGGTGGTAGTCTACAAGTTCCTTTAATCTACTCGAGTACTCATATGGTGCCATTCACTTAAAACATGTACCTAGCTAGGTGCAACACGTAACGCTCAACCCTCTATGTAGCCAGCCCATACCCTAAATCCAGCATCTTCTGCCAAACCTTAACTCTTATTTGTATCATAACTACTTTACCTCCGGAATAACAGGTTAATTCACAGCTCCACAGTTACTATAAAAGTGTTCATAAGATGTGGGAATTGGGGTAAGGGCTGGATACATAGAGGGTTGAGCGTTACATGTTGCACCTACCTAGCTAGGTACATGTTTTAAGTGAATGGCACCATACGTTGGTATACAGGTATGGTCACCGATTAGGAAACGGGGCATAGGGTTTCCATAATTAGTATAGGGTAGAATAAAAAAAGGTGGGTGGCCCGTCACATGACCGGCTTAATTTTTATTTTTGTTTTTTTTATTTAAATAGGTATGTCTGGTGGGACCCATCATAGTTCTCGCATAATAGATTTGATTGAACCCAGCGGATCTTCGTGAGGGCCAATATGCGTGAGAAATTCATTCCCCTGAGAGTCCTGCTGCGTAGTTCGGGACATCTTGTCTGCTAGAGACTCGCAATAAGAGTTTGTCACTTTTCTTTTACCCTCAATAGGGAGCACAAAAGATACAGTCTAGTTGCTGCAAAAGCACAGCGGCAGGAATAACAAGTTTGGTAAATTATTTTAATTGTGGCTAGGTTTCGACAGACGTATCATACGCTCACATGCCGAGAACAAGGGTCGGGGTAACTCCCGTAGAGTGTCCATTTAGGTATGATATGATAAATGCATAAGGGTAGAGTAAGCCCTTCTTGCGAGAATACAATAGATACATATCCCGGATTGGAGAGTTTGAGAAACGGTCACCCTGATATCACCTGCCACGAATTTTGCAGAGTTTCCATGCCCTTCACCTCATAAGAGGGGTGCACATAAGAGGCACTGCCATACAGGGAACGTGCGGTTAGGTAGGATAGTGAAATTCGATTGGAGGCATCACTTGCCGCACGTCTCTGTTGGGGCGAATTTGTCATCCATCTAATCCGCTTTGTTCTCTCCATCCTAGTTGTGAGTATGTGAAATTATTGTCAGTCGCCTGCGCTCTCTCGCTGGAGATAATACTTGAAACTTTCCCTCACAAGAAGGACAATCTCTAGGCACTGGGGTTCATTGCTCACGATTTTCTGCAATTTCTATTGCTTTCCCCAGAAGGATCAAAGACCCCAGACGCCATATCTGGAAGCAGTTGGCTGGGACTTGGTGTCAGAGTGGGAAATCTGGCCGTAGAGAGAGAGGTATCAGAGGTCTCGTTGAGCTCAGGCGCATGGCATCGTGAGGAAAAAAAGCAGCCTCATTGCAGCTCACATCCGAAAACCCTGACTCGGTCACACCTCACGTGTGAATGTAGGAGATTTTTCCCGAGTGGAGACTTTTAATATCATTGCTATAGTGGTTTACAAGGGATATCAGAAAATCCGATTGTAAGCCTTCTCGCACCCCCTTAGTTCCACAATATTCGACCACACTACTTAAGTTACATGGGCTACCCCTATCCCCCATCTCCCATCCATTTGAACCCGATCCACGAGTCGTGTCTCATGCGCCCTCTCTTCCTTATGCGGCCGGTGCAATCAGCCTTGAGTCCAATTTCAAGCGATAGTTACCCATGGGTGACTTACTCTATTTGCCTTCGATTTTTGCCTATTGCATATCACCCTAGACATCATTAACAGAATCCCGGAGATCTTGAGCTGTGAAGGGGATATCCTCCTCGCCTGGGACCGGTAGGCGAGGAAAGATTTTCTCAAGTGCGAGTCTCAAGGGAGGTCCGGTAATGGTCTCTCCGTCGATGTTAATTCTGCTCCGCCGGTCTGGCTAAGAGGGGCGCAGGGCTGCCTCATGTGATATTTAGATTCGGTATGGTGCTGTATTCCCAGTGCTCCAGATGTCTTTTTTGCTCAAGTTTGGAGATCGAGATGAGGAGAGCTGTTTTTAAACACTGCGTACTGTCCAGCATTCTCCAGCGCTGGAAGCAGTTGTTTGGCGAGGAAGAGGAATAGTAGGTGGAGGGTCGCGCGATGGGAAGCCGCATGAATCTGGGATGTCGTTGACCGGCATGGGCGCCTGTGAGCTCGTTGGTAGAATTTTTAGATTTAGTGGGGGGAGCGGTTGCGAGACGGGTTTTCCCTATGGTACTCGAGTAGAGATTTCTGTTTGTTTTTGAGGGATTTGGTCGATTAGCTAGACGTATACCGGCTCGGTGTTTCTGTGGGGTGCGTTGGGTGGGCTGTTCGTGGGGTATGATCAAGACCGGCAAAGAGAAACACCTTCCTAGCCCGAGCCCAACCGTTTTTAGCTACTATGTCCCGTTCACATTCCAGCATCATGTGCCGTAGATCATGCACGGAGCAGGGTTAAAGATTGGTATCATACCTAGCCAAACCATTAATGCCTATCTTTGCTCTTCACGGCAATGGGCCTTCCAACTATTCGCCGATTGATTCTTAAAAATTGCTTGTGAGGCTGAATTTCCTAGTGTCGGGCGTCACCTGGCAAGACTGCGGATATTCGAAGGCTTGTGGGTTGTGGTCACCAAGAAAAAGAGAATGAAGATTGATTCTCGATTGCGGGCGGGGACCCGGTTTAGATCCCTGTGCCGGGAGCTGGAAAAGGACGAGAAGCGAAAGCTCGCGAGAAAGCCAAGTGAGGCAAAGAGTAGGGTGGAAAGGGAGGGGAAGGGAAACAGGGGAATACAGGAGTTGAAACTATCTGAGAGTAAGGGGATGATATGCGTGGAGAAGAGATAGGGAAATGTCAAACAGGGTCTAAGGAAGGTTTGCTCGCTAAAATCAAAAGTCTGTCCCCGACCTTTACCTAGGCGCAATCGACCGAACCACACCCTGCTTGTAAAAAATTGGGGCTTACCTCTCACAACCTCTGGACATCACCAGCGACCCTGCTTTCCAGTGGTATTTTATTTATGGGCAATGCTATCCACACAATTCTCCTGTCGTCGGGGCTGCCAAAGCGGAGTAATTGCTGTATTGCCACCGGCGGCCATACCTCGGGGACAAACTTTTGATTTTGGCGAGTAGTGAGAGAAAGGCTAGTAACGGAGACACCGTCAACGAAGCGAGACAAGTGGGATAAGGAAACAAATGATGAAACTGGACTAGTCTGTACGGCGGATAAATACTAATTCGAATCAACGATACTTGGGTTATGTTTCCCGAGTGATCGAGCATGATTGCCCGCATTGTGGGAAATTCTCGGTGCATTTGGACGCGGTGGGACAGATTGATTCGGGAACACAAATACAATCGTCAAGAGCCTCTTTCTCCGCATGACTATACTCGCTTGATCATTGCCTTGGCCAGCATTGGTCATAGCCCCGGGGGTTAAATCTGCGGAGGAGGTAGATGGAAGAT